GGGACAGGGATGGGGACAGGGATGGGGACAAGGATGGGGATGGGGCAGGGCTGGGGCCGGGCACGGGCGGGCCGGCGCGCTCACTGGCGTTGACGAGGACGAGCGCGGTGAAGAGGGCCACCTCGCTGTCGGAGAAGTGCAGCGAGCAGAGCCCGTGCGCCAGCTCGAAGATGGAGCCCACGAGCTCGGGGCAGCCTGCGGGACGGGGCCCTGGGTCAGCGGCCCCGGCAGCCCCCCCGCGCCCGCCCCGCGGCCTCCCCTACCCAGCGACTTGAAGAGCTCCGGCCCGGCGAACTTGCCCTCGAAGAGGACGGTCCGGTTCTCGGCGTTGAAGGCCCGGCACATCCTCACCAGCACCACCTCCATGGCGCCTGCGCCAGCCGCGGCGTCACGGCGGCGTCCGCGGCACCGCGCTCCTTCCCCGAGCGCTCCCAACCGCCCACGGAGCACCCCAAGGGACCGTCACCCGCCAGGGGACCAGGGCATCCCCTGGGGACCGTCACCCAGGGGCGCCAGGGTGGGCCCTGCGGGGATGCAGCGACAGCAGGAACCCGAGGTTGGGCCGGGATGCTGGGGACAGGGACGGCGGGAGCGCCCGGTGCTGGCACAAGAGCCCTGCGGGCGCCGCGGGGCCGGGGGCCGCGGGGCCGGGGACCGGGCACGGCGCCGTACCCGCCTTGAGCAGCACGATCTGGTCGTTCTGGCAGAGCTCCATGAAGCCGCCCATGCGCTTGGCGAACTCCACCACGTGCTGGATGGCCTCGGTGATGCGCCCGGCGCAGCGCTCCCACATCTGCGCCGGGGACTGCGCGGCGCCGCGGGTCACCCATGGGAACGCGGGGCCGCCCCGCGTCCCCCGGCCCGCTCTCACCTGCTTCTGGTAGGCGCCCACCTCGTCGCGGGAGAAGGTGTCCCAGCGGCGCAGCTGCAGCTCCTCGGCGCGCAGCTGGCACGTCTCCCGGTGCGACTTGAGCACGTTCTGCGTGAGCCGCTCTGCGGGGACGCCGCGGGGACGTGGGACGGGGCCCTGCCGCCTGCCCCGGCCCCGAGCCCGCTGCGGAGCCGAGACCCTGTGCCCCTGGTCTTGGACCCCAGCGCTCGTCACCCGTGGGGCCGGGTCCCACCAGCACGTGGCACCCAAACGGGGACGGAGGCCGCTCCCCAAAGTGTTCGTCACCCCGTGGTGCCGGGGTGCCACGTCCCACACGCTGTGCCACCCGTGCAGCCAGGGCGCCCTGCACGCGGCACCCGCTGCGGTGCAGCCAGGAGCCACCCCAAGGTGCCAGAGCCCACGGCGGGCGCCCGTCCAGCCGGGTCCCCCCAGCGCTCGGCCCGGACTCACCGATGTCCACGAGGGAGGCGCCGGGGAGCTCCAGGAGGCTGCAGAGGCCGGTGTAGGAGTCCAGGGCGTCCCCGGGCCCCTCGGGGCCCCGCCTGGCCCCGGCCCCCCGGCCCAGCTCCAGCTGGGGCTCGGGCAGCGCCCGGGGCTCCAGGCCGCCCAAGGGTGCCACTCTGCCCTCCGCCTTGCTGGGCTCGCCGTGGGCGGCCGGGGAGAGCGGCGGGTGGCCCCGGCGTCCCCCGGGGAGGCCCAGGGTGAAGGCGGAGGCCGGGGGGGCCTCGGCGCCCCGTTCCCGCTCCCGCTGCTCCAGCTGCTGCTGCACCTCGGCGTGCAGCCGGTCCCGCTGCTTCTTGGACATGCGCCCGAACTTGACGGCTGCGGGGACACGCGCCAGCCTAAGCGTGCAAAGCGCGCCCGCGCGCGCCTGCCCGGCGTGCACCCAGGGGTGCGCGGGTGCTGCATGGACATGCGCACAGTGTGGGTGCTGCACATGCGCACCCGCAAAGCCCATGCTTGCAGGGTGGGATGCACAACGGCACGTGCAAAGTGCCCCTGCAGTGACAGCGTGTGTTGCTGTCTGTAGAAAGCCTGGGCTGTGCGGAGCATGCACACGCGTGCAAAGTGCCCGTAGTGCATGCACAGGTATGCAAGGTGCCCGTAGTGCATGCATGAGCGTGCAAGGTGCCCATAGTGCATGTGAGAGCACGCAAAATGCCCCCAGTGCATGCACGGGTATGCAAGGTGCCTGCAGTGCAGATATGCGTCTGCAAGGTGCCCGCAGTGCATGCACAGGTATGCAAGGTGCCCATAGTGCCTGCACGAGTGTGCAAGGTGCCCATAGTGCATGCATGGGCATGCAAAGTGCCCACAGTATTCGCACGAGGGTGCAAGGCGCGTGTGGTGCAGGTACACGTGTGCAAGGTGCCCGTAGTGTATGCACGAGTGTGCAAGGTGCCTGTGGTGCAGGCACACGTGTGCAAGGTGCCCGCGCTGCGTGCGCGAGCGTGCAGAGCGCTGCGTGCACGTGCGCGCGCTCGTCCCCGCTCTCCCCACGTGTGCCGGTCCCGGTGACCTACATAAGCGCCGTGCCGGCCCCGCCGCGCGGCTTCCTCCGGCAGCGCCAGCGCCGGCCCCGGCGCTTCCTCCCGCGGGGGTGGCCGCGGGCGACAGGTCTCCCCCACCCAGTCCCCTCTGGGGACACGGGGGAGATGCGTCGGGCGCCATACGGGGAGAGGGACCCAGATTTGGGGAGGGGAAGCGCACCCAGCTCGCGGTGCTGGGGAGAAGCACCCGGGTGCAGGGCTGGGAGAGGCACTCGGGGAGATGGGGAGATGCACGCGGGGTGGGACAGGGGTGGGCACGGGGCTCCGTGGTGGGCACAGGCTCCGTGCCAGGCGCGGGCCGCGGCGGCGCTCACCGTCGCGGGACATGCCGAGGCGCAGGCACTTCTGCAGGCGGCAGTGCTGGCAGCGGTTGCGGCTGGCGCGGTCGATGGGACAGTTCTGCTGGCGGCTGCACGCGTAGCTCAGGCTGCTCCGCTGGCTGCGCCGGAAGAAGCCCTGCGCCGGGGGTCAGCGGGGACGGCGCCGCGGGACCCCCGGGCCCCCCCGGGCCCCGCCGGGCCCCCCGGCCCCGCTCACCTTGCAGCCCTCGCAGGTGATGACGCCGTAGTGGATCCCCGAGGACTTGTCCCCGCAGATCTTGCAGGGGATCACCTCGATGTGGGCTGCGCGAGAGCGCCGCAGCATGGGACACACGTGTCCCCCACGGGTCCCCGTGTCCCCCATGGGACCTGTGTGTCCCCCACGGGCTCACACGTGTCCCCCACG